ATCGCGTGCGTTCGCGCCGGCTTTGCGCGTGCGCGCCGGCGCACACCACCGTTCTCTTCCACTCGCTCGTTCGCCGCTTTACATCCGCGTTTACGTGATCTTTCGCGCGAGCGTGCGAGCGCTGAAAAATTCCTGCGGACCGGAATATGTAAGTAGTCCAATTAACTCGCGCGGCCGGCTGGATTTCACCGAGTGCAGCGGGCACACACCGGCAAGAAGCACGCCGCGAACTAACAACCACACCACGGGCAATTTCGATTAATAATCGAGCACTCTGCCGCCGCGCGCGTCGCGTCGTTAACGCGCATTAACGTTCATCATTCGCATCGCGCTGTAAAAATATAATAATAAGCCTGTTCACCTAAGCGCGCGCGCGCGCAGCAAAAATTCTCGTGACTTACCAAGGACAAATATACTCAAACGAATGATCGACAGCTATCGCGAAATGGCTGTTTATTAACAGAGACTCAGTGTCTCTCTCCTCCTGCCTGATTGACAACGATCCGATCGATACGATTTTCCTGTAGACCCGGCCAAATTCACGAGCATTCAAAGACCATTCGCTCGCGCGAACGGATCGAGAGAATCCGCCGGCGAATGCGTTCTATCGTCGTTCGTCGTTCGTCGTTCAACGACATTCCCGCGCCAGAATCCGGGTGAAAGGAGCATTTTCACACTGACGCGCCGTGAGCGCGCGCGAGCGCGCGCGCGCGCACGCTGGAAACCCTCGAGCGCCGTACTGCGCGCGCCGCGCCGACTCGATACCGATTATTCTCACGAACGATAGGCAAAATCTCGTGCGAGATCCAAGGCGACTTGGATAAGGCAAAACCATTCTTCAATCATGCTCACTTATCAATTGCATCAGCTGCACAGCTATAATAAAGACTCGTTCATCTCGAGAAAACGACTCGAAGTACACTCTCTGCTGGTCGCACACTACAATAAATGGCTAATGCTCGTCCAATCGTCCAAAAATGCGCGCGCGCGTGTTCTTTCTTATTCTTACGGAAAATTTTGCAAAACTCTGACTACGATTCTCTCGAGACAATTCTATCGTTTTTGCGAGCGAAAAATTTTCAATCTTTCATCTCGCCTCCGGTAATGAGCTGAAAATATTTTACGTAAGATTCGTAACCTTTCGTCCCTTGCTGTTCTCTCTCTCTCTCCCTCGCTCTCTTCTCGTTCGCCTTACTTATGAGCCATAAAAATTGATGGAATAAAAAGAGCTGCCCTGCAACTCTTCCTCCCTTTCTTACCTCCTCTGCAGTTTCGCTCCCGCGCCGCTACTTCGACCTGGATCGTTGGAGAGAAATTGCGCCCGGGGCGAGGGCGGATTCCGATTCGGCTTGATGGAACCTTCATTTTTCGTTTTCTGCCCCCGTCTCTGATCGATCCAGCGACAATTTTTAAAGGGACATACCGCGCGAGCCGACGCCGCGCCCGCGCCTCCGTATTCCTCGTTTTGAACTTTAGATCACGGACAAGTCAATTGTCTAAGACTAGACCGAATCCGAATATGATTTATGGTACGATACAGAGTAACAGATTATCCATCATGTGTTTTTGAAGCTTATCAGAGCAACGCTAAGATTACAAGTCGTGATCTCTGTCTCTCTCTCTCTCTCTCTCTCTCTCTCTCTCTCTCTCTCTCTCTCTCTCTCTCTCTCGTCTTCTTCTTTTCCAATGTAGTTTCCTGTTTTTTCACACACACACACACGCGCGCGCGCACGCGCGCAATTTCGTCCAAGAAGAATACAAACAAAGTACAGACGGTTATTATATCAAGATGCTGATGGTTCCTTGAAAAATTTCGCCGAGTCGTCACACGAATGTACCGGGTACATAATACCAGAGTGCACGCCGCGGGAGAAACATTAAACCGGTCCTTTGTAATAACCGGGGCCAAATTAAACAAGACCGAGCAATCATTTTCGCGTTCTTCCAGGGGTTCTCGAATTACCAAGAGATAATTGAATGAACGATACTTTTCTCGTTAAATTTCACTAAAAAAGAAAGAAAAAAAAAAAAATATTGAGAAAAAGGAATTTACGTTATATCCCTCCCGTCTCGAGCGCTCCCTCGAGCTCGTTGTGTCGGTCGATCGGCTTGCAGTTTTAACGGGTTAAACATTGTCCCCGAGACATTGCGACGGGAATGCAAAGCGCGCGCACTTATGCGGCACAGCGGCAGCGGCGTCGCAAGCGTAGCAAGAAAGAAGGTGTGTATCAACGCGTGTTTTGAGTTGAATTCTTGCCGAGTCAAGAGAACACACCGAGAGAACCCCCGCGTGCGCGCCGTGCCGTGCGTTATTGTCGATCGATATCAATCGAACGAGCCCATAACGCAGCACTCTGCATAGCAATGTTGAGAAATTCGGGACATTGTCCGTTTCTTCGCGGTAAGCAGAAGCAGGGCTGGGGAATACAATCCGATTATCCGTGCGCCTCCGTATTTTTTTAGTGCTCTTTTCGACGGATCCGTTCCACTGAATTCGACTGTCGAAAATCATTCGCGATACGTGAGCGTGATTTGGTAAATTAAATTAACTGATCGGAGAAAAATTGTCAATTTTGAGAGCGCAACGTATCCTTTATCAAGTACGCATGTAATCTGTGCGATTGTAACGTATTCAATAGCTGTGTGTGTTTAATCTTATCGTGATATGTAATAATGTAAGTCTTACATTTACACATGTTTACACAAGAATTTGAGCGTAAATGTCGGCGGAGAATGCCAATTGCGATCGAACGATAATTTCGATCGTTTTACCGTTCGATATTGCCGGGTTACGTCACAAGGATACGGTATACGCGTTCGCGTTTTATAAGCGACGTCCCCGCCCGCTTGCAGGTGTAATCGCACGGCTCATCCGTTCGTTCGTTCGTTCGTTCGTTCGTTCGTTCGTTCGTTTGTTCATCACATTGTTGACGCAAGAACGCATTGTTCTCACCTGGCGCAGCTCGTCGCCAACTATACTTCAAGTACGCTCAAGTCGTATTTTCTCTCTCTCTCTCTCTCTCTCTCTCTCTCTCTCTCTCTCTCTCTCTCTCTCTCTCTCTCTCGCTCTCTCGCTCTCTCGCTCTCTCGCTCTCTCGCTCGCGCTCTCTCGGCGCTCGAAAGCGGTGCGAAAGGCGAAAGAGAAACGGAAACGACGATCGAGCCTGAGGGAAAGAAGAGAAGAACGCGCGCTCGCTCGCGCGCGCGTGGAGTCGCAGAGAGAAGGTGAAGGTGGCCTCACCGTATAAAAGTGGAAGAAGGTACGCGGCGTGTGGAAAAGGTAGAAGGGGCCTTGACCGATACGTGATCATCGGCTATGGACAACGAACGGACGTCGGCCAACAGTACGGACTGATTCAGTCGAGCTGGAATGTCTCTCGCGTTACCGTTACGTCGCGAACCGCGACGAACGTATCACGAGCACGAAGACGCTGTCAGGGACGACACTACTATACGAGCTTCTCTCTGGCACGTCGCGATCTAGAAAACAAGCGCGACGAAAGTGCTCCGATCCGCCACGGAAGCGAAATCTTGATCGATATCATCGTCGCGCCCCGTCATCTCCGTCGCCGTCGCCGTCGCCGTCGCCGTCGCCGTCGCCGCCACCATCGCTGTTGCCGGCAGGCTACTGTCTGTTGACATTTTCGCACGTCAACGAGAAATCGCATTTCTTCATCGTCTATCGAACGATGGCGAAGCACGAGGCGCAAGGCAGGCCGGAGACGAAAACGTATTCTTCTTCTCTCTCTCCTTTTTTCGCGACCGGCGAGAGCTAATCTTTCGTAATCCGACGCGCATCGCTAGTTGATATTTTCGTGACGTCGTAATGTTAATGTAACTTGTAGATACACGCACGCGCGTATGCCCCCGCAAAGCGCGTACGACCCCGCGCTTGATAGTTACCCTAAATCGCGCAGGAACCGGCTCGAAGAGAGAAAGAGGATCTCTCGGTTGCGGTTTTACTCGTGTACGGCGAGACGACATAAAAATGTTAATTAGCCACCTATCTCTCTCGGGATTCTAAGTTAAAAACGCGTCACTCGTGGTGACGCGTTCTCTAAGAATTAACAGAATCAACCGTCAGAGCGCGAAAATAAAGCTCGAAGCTTAGCGAAAATGCGAATTGCGTTTGTGTGGAGAAGGAAGACGGTAGAAAAAACGGCGCATTCGGCACTCGAGCGTGCGATAATTTGTCTACAGCAGCGATAAGTACCAGCGACAGCAGGCCATTGCATTTCGCGGAAGTTACGACAAGTTGCATAATGCCGAATACTGCGCGCGCGCGCTTCCTGATAGGATAAAAACGACAATGAAAGAAAAAGGTATGACGGAGAAAAGAAAAATTATCCGTCGAGAGGAAAATCGTCCTCGAATGCGGCCGCGTGTCGCGAGCTGGCCGATCACGTGACCGCCAGTACTTCAGATACTCAGCAGGTCGCTGCAATAAAGTGCAATCCGGAACGAAATGGTTCGACGACGACGACGACGACGACGACGACGAAAAAGAAGGAAAAAATACGAAGAAGAAGAGAAAACTCCGATGCGCGCGCGTCCTCCTTCTCTTCCTCCTCCTTCTTCTTTTTCTTCATCCATCCTCGAGTCGAAATATTCGAAGAAGGTATCTTGGTTTTAATGGGGCCCCGGATCGCGCGCGCGCGCACGCGCGCAAGAGAGAGAAAGAGAGAGAGAGAGAGAGAGAGAACGCCGCGCCTTCGTGCTCGAGCCGCGTTCGAGCAGGTGGAAGCGGTTCTGGAGCAGAACTGGTTTTTGGAGTTGGTAGGAGTCGGTGGAGGAGAGTTGTGACGGGAGGTGGTGGTATTCTCTCTCGCCAGTACACGTCGGCTATACATACATATATACCGGCACGTTCGTTGCTGGTATGCCGCCGTGGCTGTCGTGTATGTGGCATGCTGTCGCGAGTGTATTCTCATGCAGTGGCGGGAGTCCCCGAGGGAGGCCGGTGGGGCCGCCTCAGCTCTTCGCCGACAAGTGATCGTTTACAGTTATAGTCAGTTCGCATTGGGCGCTCGGCCGGCCCTGACTACACCAAGCTCGTAGTCGTCGACTGACGCTGATAAAGTTCCACTTCTTGGATCTTTCGGATACGCGTAATTATTAGCGTATTCACCATTTATCTCCCTCCCCTCTCTCTCTCTCTCTCTCTCTCTCTCTCTCTTCTCCTTTCCCCCCTCCTTCTCTCTCTCTCTCTCTCTCTCTCTCTCTCTCTCTCTCTCTCTCTCTCTCTCTCTCTCTCTCTCTCTCTCTGTCTCTCTCTCTCTCTCTCTCTCGTTTTCACAAATTCATTTTTCATTCTTTTCTTGAGACAAATCTAAAATTACGCTCATTATTGCTCTGTCTCTTTTTTCTTCCTCGCCTTCTCTGTCCCACAACTCTCTCTCTCTCTCTCTGTCCATTATATATAGGTTGCAATTAAAATTTTCTTATCGTTGTTGCGCTGATAACATCGAATCGCCGTTGTTACTCTCAACGTTGCGACGGCGACTCTCGCGCGCGCGCGCGCGCGCGCGCGATCAACGAGCCGTTATTAATAACTCGTCAAAGACGGTAGTTTCGCGAAAAGTTGAGTAACGATCCAGTGGTTCACAGTTAGTGGCAAGATCGATGAGTGTCGTGTGAAAGGAAAAGTGCGAGACACGTTCTGAGGCGAAAAGCGCCGTACTGTCAGTGGCCAGCTAGCAACGCTACGTGGACTCGGTGAGAGCGTACGCACGCACGCACGCACGCACGCACTCGACTCGCAATACTCGGAGATACTGATGGAGAATAATCGACCGACGAGGTAAATGCAATTTTTTCTTCTCCCTTTCGACCGATCGTTTTCGAGCCTTTTCACTCGACTCACTGAGCGCGGAATGAACACGTCTGCACTTTTCTGCGCGCTGTCTGAGACAAGAATGTCATCGGTACTCTCCTCGCGTCTCTGTCGTCTGTCGTGATCGGAGTTTCGTTCGTTCCGTTTCGTTCGGTTCGTCGCGAGAAGCGCGAGATAACAGCGAAGATACAAGCAGCTTAGAGAGAAACCGGATTCGTAGATCGAAAGTCGCGCTACACAAAATCCGAGAGACCACATCGATAGCTCGACACCGACAGTACCGGCTCGACGCGGTGCGGCGCGGCGCACGATAAATTACAACGTGCGCTCTCGGGGGGTTATCGTTTCGGGGGCTTAGTAATTATTATCAGGGATCGTTCGATTATATATTGCGCGTTCTTAGAGCACACTTAATGATACACACGACGATGATCCGAGCCGAGAGATCAACGCCGAAACAACGTCGTGGAATCGCGACTCGAAATTGCGCTCGTATTCTTACGGCTGTTTACATTCGCCCTTGACATTTTATCCAACGATAAGCCGGGCACTTTTCTTCACGCGGAGCGTCGACAGAGAGAGAGAGAGAGAGAGAGAGAGAGAGAGAGAGAGAGAGAGAGAGAGAGAGAGGAGAGAGGGAGAGGGAGAGGGAGAGGGAGAGGGAGAGGGAGAGGGAGAGGGAGAGGGAGAGGGAGAGAGAGAGAGAGAGAGAGAGAGAGAGAGAGAGAGAGAGAGAGAGAGAGAGAGAGAGAGAGAGAGAGAGAATGTGTGTGGGTGCGCGCGTGAGGAGGAGCACGGGTATTACCGGCGGGTAATAAAAGAAATACAAAATAATAAAAATAAAAAGTAAATCAATAGCCGATCAATACGAATGAATAACAATCAAAATCACGAGCAGAGTTATTTTACACGCGATTTCTCGACCCTAATCAAACGCCAACGATCAGAACGGGACTCTTAACAGGGAATTTCTTTATGTCACTGTTGTTATGCGAAAACACGTGTAACATGCACTCGGTTCGTGAGCGCCGCGAGATAACGCGGACTACGATAAAAATTGCGCCGACAGGAGCAGGTGTATCGGTCGCGTATATATCGTCCTAACGTGTACATACATACACGGGAAATATATCGAGCAAACTAAATGAAACGGACGCGCGAGAAGAAACGGCAGAAACAGACGCATAGACGCGAAAGGGAAACGCCGTAAGTTGTAACGCCGCGCGACGTGCGTTATTGCATAATTCTTCATAAGCAGCTTTTCACGCCGCTATTTTTGTGTTTCCTCTCCTTCGAAAAACGCTCCTTCGCTTCTCGCGAGGAGCGAAAGGCATGGACCCGACGCCGCGTGTTCCTACGCGAAATTTGCATTTTCGAGATATGCGCGCTCAAGCGTGGCCGAAATGTCGCGCGAAGTGGCGTTATAATTGCGGCGGCGGCGGCGGCGGCGGCGGCGTCTCGACGCATAATCGCATAATCGAATAATCGAGCTGTGCGCGAAACGATATTTCGCCACGTCGCGTTTCGATTTGTAAGTCGCGATTCGTAATACTTGCTGCAGCAATAATAATGCGGACGTTAACGCACGCAGCGCTTACAGATTAGACACGCGTGCGTTCAACCGCACGAGTTTTTCACCCCCGGCTACTATTCATTACAGTTACGATTGCGCGAATATAAATAAATGCGGACGAATAATCGGACCTCGGCATCTACCGGCTCGCGCGCGCGCGCGCGCGCGCACGCGCGCTCGTCATCGGTGTCGCATCAACGCCAGCCACTTTCGCGCGAGTGATCTCACTACGACCGATTGTTATAAATATTGAATATTAAACTTTACGTTGTTGTTATTAGGTAGATTAGATAGTTTTATAATAGCGGCGCGCGCCGCTGAATTGAATTTTCGTGGTGCTTGTGTTAATAATTCACTACGTAGCGACGTAGCGAGTCTTCTCGTTCCGGCGACAAGTCGCCGGAAATTCGATGCGCTGCGACGAATTAGCATATTAAATAAACAACTCGAGATGTGACGAGAGCAACATCTCGAAAGCGTCGACTATTAATCCGATAAGCTTATGGGACGGCACGTCCCGTTATACCGCCGGCGATACGACATGGAACAATTGTCTCGATCAGTGTTGCGCGTTACACTGACGAAGAAGAAAAAATTAAAAAGCGAGACACACACACACACACACTTGCGTGTTCCATCTTGTGTGTTATCTAGCGTAGTGCAATAGATTTACCCTCGTGTCTCCCATTTTCTCTAAACTGCTCGTCTTGTGCGTACATGGTACGTACGCATTATTGCAATTTTCCTTAATCATTATGATGACTGAAGGAAAATGTTAAAAAATCTGACACTAGAGCGAGCTTTAACAATTTAAGAAAATAGAGGAAAAAAGAGAAAAAGGAAAAACAGTCCAAAGACGGAAAAGATCTTTTTGCGCAAGTGACTAATGATCGACGGATTCCACGGACTTTGGGAAACGACGATAAAATCGGAAGTACGCTCTTCCCGCGAACGTCATGCAAAATGCATCGCATCGTTCGCGCGTTTCTCTGTGTGCGTATGTGTGTATAAATTATGCAACTCTATGTACGCGTGTTATCCAATCAGATAACAGGCCGGCTCTCTGTCTAATCGCCATGTCGTTTGTGAATTTATACGTCGGATAATACGAGACGAACAAAAAGCAAAGAGGGAGGGAGAAAGAACGAGTATAAAAAGTTGCAGTGGCGTAACACGCGTGACTTTGTAAACATTGGTTGCGAGCAGTGAGGGGAAATAAAAAAGCGATCGATCGACGAAGATATTGCACTTTACTTCCGGCTGAATTTTAATGATCAAATCGATATCCAGCACGTATGCGGATTTTTCTGCTCGCATTGAGACGCAGCAGGAAAAACGGAAATACCCCGATTTCATTATCACCATTCGCGCATGTTGACTCCCCTCCTCCCCTCCCCCCACAACGCGCATCGCTTTTTCACTTGTATCCTTTCTTCCTTTTCACTTTATTTATTTCTTATTTTATGTTTCTCTCTCTATCTCTCTCTCTCTCTCTCTCTTTTTCACACGCACTAAAATGTTCGACATTTCAAGAAATACTCGTAGCGTCGGTAATCGGAGCTACAATATTGCCATGAATATTTTAGAATCTGAGTGTCTCGGTATTGACAAATAAGATTACAACGCTACTTTCATCGGGTTCAACAGTGACACAATCTTCGTCGATGGCTCGAAAATTCTCTGCACTTTATTTCCGATATGCTTCAGAATGTGCTTCAACGTGTGGATGTTACTAATCGCGATGTTTCTTGTGTCTCGTCTCCCTTCAAAATCTTATTTCATACTCGGAATTTAATAATTATATGTTTTATAATAATTCCAAACAATTTATACATAACAGGCTTTCGTCTCGTGCAAATTATAATCTTCCGCTCGTCGATTACGCTAAAACGTGTGTTTCTGCAAAACTCTGCTCAATGTGTGTCGCTTATCGTCACGAGCTCACGGTAAAATTACAATAAACGACGTATCATCAATATGAATAAGTAAATAAAGCAAAATTGAAGAGGACGCAACAATATCGGCAACGTTTGAGCGATCGATAGAGAGCGATCTGACGAGAGAAACGAAATAAAGCAAGAAGAATGAGAGTCATGCTGGCGTCGCTTCTCCTCTCTTGTCATCCGATATCGCGTAAAAAAAAAAAAGAAAGAAAAGAAAAATGAAAGTACGAATCTCTGACGACGACCACGCGATGTGTGGTGTGTTACAGATCAATCGTGCTGTAATCTTGATTAGGACAATGCGGAAACTGGATGCGCTATCGGGCAGCGACCAAGACTGCGGCGATCGGGAGATGTATATCGACCTGGACGACGCCTCCGTCGACTCGCTTACCGGGAAACGTGGTCGCCACCATGTCGAGGTATTCTCTCGCCTTTCTCTTTTCCCTTCTTTTGTTTTCCCACTTGCCGAATAGTGCTGACGACAGCGCGACGACACTAATCTTCAATGAAAGTACTGATCAAAGCTAAAACCTGCAACTAGAACTTTTCTAGAACCCAGTTTCTCTCCCAATCAACGGCATTAATCAACTTTTGCGAACCAACGTGTTTTGTTCATACTGCATGTATTTGTGTGAGAGCGAAGGAAGGAGACAGAGAGAGAGAGAGAGAGAGAGAGAGAGAGAGGGAGGGAGGGAGGGAGGGAGGGAGGGAGAGAGAGAGAGAGAGAGAGAGGGAGAGAGAGAGAGAGAGAGAGAGAGAGAGAGAGAGAGAGAGAGAGAGAGCGTTTATCGTGAATAATGATTGCATCAATACATTTGACCGTATAGACACGATACTGCTCCTTGTCACAATAAAAGAAATACGTCCAAATGTTAAAAAAAGCTATCCGCCGTGTCCGGCGGATGTGTACTAGTCGCGCATAACGATGCGTCCGCGACGAAATTTACGAGCGTGATGATACGGGTGTTGGCGTAGCGCATTGCTCGAGTAATTAAAGGAATCTCTAAATTATGCCGAAGGCAAATTCCGTGAACAGTGATAACAAGTTAAAATCCCGCGGCAAAAGCCGTCGGCTCGGATATAATCGTACGCGGGACACATCTCATTATCGGCGATTGAGTTGGTAAATAATCACTTTATCAGCGTTATGCAGCGGCAAATGAAATTGCTAACGTTTTATCTATAACGCGACTTTATCGGTTAGACAAACATCTTCATGGATCGTGGATTGTCAGACGGAGATGCGGGAGAGAGGAGGAGGAACGTATCTCCGTACGCGCGTATTTAATTTTGCCTTTCGATGTTCGATATATTCGAGAGATATTGTCGAATCTGTCGTAATATATATCAGCCAAATGCGTTAATTCGTTCATGTTTCTACATTAACATATTACATATGTACAAATGTCTATAGGGGCAATCTATTGTTGGAAAAAGGAGGAGGAGCTAGTAGTAAAGAAAACTCATCGACTAATTGACTAATTTTATTGAAACTATAGAAAATTTTTGCGATACAAGTGAATCTCTCTCTCTCTCTCTCTCTCTCTCTCTCTCTCTCTCTTTCTTTTCGGACTCTCTTATCATTAAAGTGTAAATTTTGGACATTGGCCTCCATTCCTTCAAGATACCGATATGACGAACGATAAGAGTGCACGTTATAAAACACTCGCAAACGTGGTCTCTCGCGTAATAAACGGATTGCGCAGTCGTGTTTCACAGAACTGTACAATGTATCTGAATGCAAATATTTTTATTCTTGAAAGTTCCCTGATGGTGATGTACTCGTACTAACATCGCGGTAGCGTAACTACGTAAATATTTGAGAAAGAGGGGGGGAGGGAGGGAGAGCGAGAGAGAGAGAGAGAGAGAGAGAGAGAGAGAGAGAGAGAGAGAGCGAGAGAGAGAGAGCGAGCGCGAGAGAGAGAGAGAGGAAAGATAAAAAATCTTCTAATATTATGAAACACACAACCAAACACGTTAAAACAGGTGGCCGAGGAGAGCGACAGCAGCGGCAGCGAGAGGAGCCCGAAGCAGGCGAAGAGACGAAATCGCGGTGGCGCACCGCCGACCACGAGGAGACGGAAAAGCGGAATTTCCGCGCGCGAAAGGAACCTGAGGAGGCTCGAGAGCAACGAGAGAGAGAGAATGAGAATGCACTCCCTCAATGACGCCTTCGAGGTAAATTGACTTTCTCGTAAAATGCTCTCCCTTGCCGCTCTTGGTCGCGCTCTTCGATCGCACCGAGGATCTCGCTGCGAAAAGTTTAGGAATGCGTTCAGGAGCGATCGGACAAGAGAGCCAAGAATCGAACAAGACCTGATATTTCAAAAGTCAAGTCTTTCATCGAGATTGCGAATTTCATGCTGAGAAATGAGAAGAGCTGTCGCAGCTCTCTGAAAAAGTCTCTGTTTCTTTCCGTGACACGAGCGTGCCTTATCGCGCGAAATATTATGTCGATCATCGGCGGGTTAAGCGCGAAATTGATGCGATGAGTGGAATTGAATTCAATACATGATGATACGAATGAAGTAGTATATAGACTAAAACGACTCGCGCGTGAGATAAACGCGGCGTATGGCGCGTATAGCGAAGCTCAGCCAACTCGGTAAACTCCACTCCAGTCGATAAGCGATTGACTCGATCGAGCGATCGCGGTTTGTGTGTGTGTGTGTGCGTGTGTGTGTGTGTGTGTGTGTGTGTGTGTGTGTGTGTGTGTGTGTGTGTGTGTGTGTGTGTGTGTGTGTGTGTGTGTGTGCGTGTGTGTGCGTGCGCGTGCTCGTGTGCGTGTGCGTGTGCGTGTGCGCGCACTCAACATGTGAATGAAAATGTATCGACTTTCGAGCGCATTCAATTTCGTCGCGTAATACGTCGCGCAATACATCGCGTCGTTCTGTTCGCGTTTATCGCGAATCCGCGACTCGTTACGCGTATGACAGGCTCTCTCAATCCACTTGTCCCGTTGTAATTTCCAGCAATTGCGAGAGGTAATACCACACGTAAAAATGGAGAGGAAGCTCAGCAAAATAGAAACGCTCACACTGGCGAAAAATTATATAATGGCGCTGACGAATGTTATATGCGAGATGCGCGGCGAGGAGCGGCCGTACACGTGAGTATCTCTCTAATCTGCTGCTTTTGCGATTGTAACGTAAAAAAGTGTATCGCTCAACTCGCGGACTCGCGGCAACGAAATATCTCTTTAATCTCTCAACACTCCTCTCGTATTCATTCTCCATACCGCTGACACAGTACCGCCGCGTATACAATCGAATATGTATCACACATCCACCTAACCTAATTTGTTAATCGCTTAACACGTCCAACGTAACGCTCGCGTTGACGCATGTTCCTTCCTTCCTTCCTTCCTTCCTTCCTTCCTTCCTTCCTTCCTTCCTTCCTTTGATCTCTGTGATTCGCGTGAAAAGTTTCGCAAGAGTTGTTGTCGAGCGGAAATCAACGAACGAATACCCGCTTCAGGTTCGTCGATGGCGAATGCGGATCCAGCAGCGGTGACAGCACCGGTCAATTAGAACTGAGCGGCGGTGAGCAACCCGACGAGTCCTCACCCACATCGATCCACGAGACCAACAACAACAGTCTCCTGCACGAGGATCTCGAGCGCAGAATCTGAGGAAATTCCGATCTATCTAACGATCTATCTAACGACGACGCAACAATATCGTCGCGAACAACAAAGACTCGCGTTTGAAGACTCTGTGATAGAATATATCATATTAGTGCCTTCCGTAAGGACTTTCGCGCGGTGATTCGTTCATTATCACGCCGCGAATCGTCACGGATTATCGTACGTCCTTGAGAGAGTCGCGCTGTAATGATCAAAACTGGTATCGCGAGAACGAGGGCCAAGTGGAAGAAACGTGAGAATGGTGAGCATGAAGAAGAGAATGAGAGACGCGAAAGAGAGAGAAAAAGGAAAGAGAAACGAGAGGCGAGCAGACATAAGAAAAGGAAGAGAGAGAGAGGGGGGGGGAGAGAGAGAGAGAGAGAGAGAGAGAGAGAGAGAGAGTGAGTGAGGGGAGCGGGGGAGGGCGGGGGGGGACGGCGGCGGCAGGGGGAGACGGAGAAACAGGAAGATTACGCCTTTTAGATTATTATACGTGTGTACGAGATATCCAAGATCTACCGCGCAATCTTTCAACCGCAGATTTCACGAAAAGTTGGGAAACGACATCCTCTCGTGTAAAAAATTCCATAGGAAGCCATTCTTTTCAGCCAACCTTCCGTCTCTGCTCTCGCTGTAGGATATTTTGGAGTAATCGAGAACTTTTGGGATTGAAAGATTCCACCGGACGAATGCATCGTCAGAAATTATCAGTTTGATCCAGTTTGATAAGCAGAGCAAAGACATCTTTGCTTTCTTCTCCGTTGAAAGCAGGTATTTATAATGTGTGGTGGGTCCAACTTAGTTCACTAAGAAGCACTCGATCTTTAATCGTCGATCGTCTGTGATTCAGGAGCGATTAACAAGTCGACATTTCCTAAGATTGTACTCTGTTACCACGACTGAGAAAGTTATGCCACGTTGCCTGTTGTCTGCCGTCTGTTGTACGTATAACACGAACACAGCAGATGGGTGGGCAATGGATCGGAAAATCGAAACACTCGAATTTAGGACTCCAATTGGTCTCGATGCGTGCGAAATACGTATCCCGTTACGTGGCAATTTCTTAATAATAATAAACTTTTCTAAACGCGCGCATAATGTTCACGGAGATGGAGATGCGCATCAGGCGTTGTACATATATAGAAAACATATATCGAGAGCACACATATCCAGGAAATATTTATATCCTGCACGAGTATCGAGTATACACGCTCGATAATGATGCAAATTCATCTCGCAATTTCGTTTTCTTTGATCGGTCGTTCAAGTCCCATTAATTTATTTTCTTGTCAATACAATCGACCTGTTTGCAAGATACTAGTATGCTAAGTACCATTATTACGATAATTATTACCACTCTTATGTTACGGCTCTATTTCCATTTTCTATTATTATTGATACCATTTTATTTCTGTTACCGTACTGCTACTAGTGCTACCGCGATAATTATTATTCCTGCTGCTATTGTTGCAACTATTGCAACCATCATACCGTTACTACCATCAACACCACCACCATCACCACCAGCAATACCATCACCACTATTACCAACTACTGCTAACTATTCTACTATACTACACTTCTACTATTATACGACTATCATCACCATCGCCCCTCACCATCGCCATCACACTACATACCAACACTACTGTCAGCACTAACACTAACACTACTGCTAATACCGTTACTATTACTATTATTACTACAACTACTATTACCGCTAGTACCGCTACTGCTATTGCTATTCCTATTGTTATAACTATCATTATTTCCATGATAATAATAATAATGTCATTATTATATTATTATTACTGTTATTCTGCATTAATATTGAATTATTATTATTATTATTATTATTATTATTATTATTATTATTATTGTTGCTTTATTAAATCGATAACACTTTACTTTATGAATTTGTTTGTGAGAAAAGACAAGATGAAATCTCGAGAAAAAGACGAGACTAAAAGACGAGAAAGAATAGTCCGAGTATTCGACGATAAAATTAATCCGACACATTCAGCGACACATACAAGTGAATTACCTCGTACACACATAAATACACATAATAATATATTCTGCCAAGCTATGTGGCCAACACAGGCAAAATCTGAACTTTCATTCGCGACGTTTAATATATATAATTTAAGACTGTAAAAGTCAACTTACCACAAAAGAATGTGATATATATACAACATCTCTCCGACATAGTCACAGTGTATCTGTAATCTGTACTGCCATAATCGATCGTAAATCACGCGTACATCTCGCATCACAAATCGCATCTCGTTGCAACAGATAGAAATTTTGCATGTGAACACGTCTGAAAACTTTTATATATTTATATAAATATCGTTCGTCTTTATACATATAAATACTTTATTACATATTATCGACCCCGATATAGTTACTAGCCCCTTATCCCATTTATGCAAAGTCGAACACATATTTATATTAATTTATACATTCCTCGGAGGCAGATTCGCGATTATCCTTGCCATGAAAAGTTACATACATAATAAGCGCTATATTTCTTTTCCTTTTTTCCTAATGATGCACGTATAGTTTGTATAGTTTGTGATAAAATATAACATTCCCAGGGGTCGTGTTATTTATTTAATTAATGATAAAAAAGAATGCGGATGTCGTTTCGTCCCGCGCGTATTTCCTTCGCTCTTTCGATTCTCACATCTTGTTTGCTATAAATACATGCTTCGTTATGTCGTGCTTTGCGTTATACGAGAGAAAGAATGCCAAAATATAAAAGAATGCTCTGTTTCACTCACAAACTATGAATTAAGACGCACAGCATCTTTTCTCCTTCCTTTTAGTAGTAGTGAATTTTGCTAAACAATAAATAAGTAATTCACTAATATATCCGAATTATACTACTACTACTAAATTTTACGGCACTTTGCATGCCGCAATGCAAAGTTTTCTAATGCTTGTTGTAACAATTATTATGCGGAACTTTTGTGTCGTGTTGTGTCCGTGCAAGCCGAACGTGCACACTATCAATCGCAGACGTGACTTGACATTGTTATTATTTTGTAATAACGAAATATACGACATGCCCGAAATATATACTAATCGAATGCCAATATGAGGGTCTCAAGTCGAGACCTCTTACCAGAGACGAGAAATTTTTTCATCGTTAATCGGGACCACAATGATAAAACAACGAATACGAGATATCGCTCGAGTCGAGTCGAGTAGTATCGTTAAGTCATGCGATAACCGTCACTACCGTCGCTACCGTTGTTGTTCGTCGTCGCTGTTCACAGCGAAGAAATGCAGCTACAATTTACTATCGCTCCTTTTCTTAACATTATCATCTTATCTATTGCTAATATTATTATCCCAATACCATTGTTATTATCATTATCATTGTTATTATTATTATTGTCATATTAATTTTTTTAATTGTATTTTATTATATTATTATTACCATAATTACTATTAGTATGTATAAAACGTATTGTTATCGGTTCTCGACACCACGATTCTTCGCTTACAGACACAGGCCATTTCCATAATTCCGTCAGCTAGAGGTAATCGGAGATTTAACTTGAAGTACTTTGTTCCTCTCTTTCTCCGAACGGAGAAAAGGAAGTATTTGCCCGAATTATCATAATTGATATTTATTTGGGAATGGCGTTGTCGTGTGAAAAATCACCCGACATAACTTTATGCCTTAATATGTACATATTACGCGTTGTGTTTTAAGAATTTTACAAAAGAGAAAATATATAAAAGTAATTTTGCAAATGCCATTGATAAATTCTTACTTCCAGCTAGTTCCTAAGATGGATGTTCCTAATCAGACCGAATCCTTTATATCGTGAAATCTCTCTCTGTCTCTCTGTCTCTCTCTCTCTCTCTGTCTCTCTCTCTCTCTCTCTCTCTCTCTCTCTCTCTCTCTCTCTCTCTCTCTCTCTCTCTCTCGATGAATGAAAGGAAAACAAGTAAAACTCGAGACATTTATTTTTTACGTCTATCTTTAATCATGTGGATGATAACAGTCGCGATTAAAATAAATAGAGCGCCTAATAGTCCGAGTACGGAGGCCAGAAGGATCGTGTCAATCGGCAGCCAAGGGTCGTCCTCTTCTTCTCGGGACCAGGCGGCAGGTTTGACCGTTGCGAGAAACCTGCGTGAGTGACAAAATGAGAAATGTGTTTTACGTATATATAATTAATGTCTTTTTTTACTAACGTGAAATTTTGACGTGAAAATATCGGTAACATATCGAGCCGAGTTGTAAGTAATGCAACTTTCGACAAAAAGTTATGGGGATGTGTTTCCCAAGCCTATTCCAAAGTTGACAGACAAAACTCATACTTGTGTGACAGACGCAGTCACACAAGTATAATTACTTTATAGACTACTGTATGCGAGACTGTATATATATGCTCACGCGGTGGTGCTTGCCGTTTCTTCGTCGACGGATGGCATTTCGGGAGACGGCACGATAGCATCGCTCAAATCCTTTCCCAGCTGCTTGAAAGCAGTTTTACCGAGCCAATCGGCAAGATCGTCCCGTCGCAATTGCCGAAGACGATGCACGATCGCCGCGTGCGTTTTACCTCTGCCCTCCGCGGGATGCTCGTTCCAGTGCAATAAATGACGAAGACATGGAATTTCTTCGTTCACCTTGCGCTCTTTCCCCCGCGAAAATTAGATGCGAGCGTTAGATGCTTCGCATGGTTAAATATTAAGTATCAATGTGACTCAGCTCAGTCTAATTGACGTAATTAGCTCAGTCAGCGATGATTGAAGCGACAATTTATCACAGCAGACAGACACTTTAAACTTTAAAATATTCTCGACCAAATTCGTTATCATCAGTTGTTAGCCAAAGTTACGTTGTGTGCCCGTTGAATTTTGTCTATTCTTTTATAATCTAATAAATTAATCCTTCCTTCTCACTTATTTAATGTAATTGCAAATAGTTAATCGATAGTTCCATCGATAAAGTAGGTCTCAGTTTATCGATGAGTCGCATAATTCAAAAAGGTGAGAAGGTTTTTCATAGATCATAGATCATTTTAGTAGAACTTGAAGATAAAACGGCGTTTGACTTGTCATTTATCACTTGAAAATATAAAAATCTGTCAATTTTATACGGTTTAGTCGTGAAACATACATAGAACAGAGATGTATGCGTGACTCGACTGCGTCGAGACGTACTACTACGTGTTCGGCTGAGTACGAGAATGGCGGCTCGTAGCGGAAACTTTGCAACTAATAAAAATAACAACCGAGACTCGAACCTTGTTTCAGCCAAGATTCGAACCACACACTTGCCTCGCAAATTTCAAGAAAGAAGTTTTGATCAGATCCAGCGAACTGGCTTACTGTTTTAAGATATACTCACTCTAAAGTCTCTCCGCTGTGAGTCGCCACTATACTCAATATGCCAAATCAAGCACATAGTACAACACACAAGTCTGAATTATATTTCCACGTTATAATTCTGTCAAAAGGAATCATATCGTTAGATGCAACGCGGAATTACGAAAGAGGATGACAGCCCTTTCAAAAAATAGTATAAATATCCTTTATATTTGAGTTTATACTTCTATATCTACAATCGTACCACGTGCTTGGAAACGTGCTTTGTGTCAAACAATTTGACACATATCTCTAGCGGATCCCAATGTTTGTTTGTGCAACACCGTGCAAAATATAATATATATGAAATCCCATGTTTGAAAATATATTTGAAGACTAGAGGCTTCAAGTTATGAAATATTTCTCAAATCACACTTCATTATTTTTGTTCTTTTCCGAAATTACAATCCATTGAACTTTACCCGTTGAACTTTCTACCTTTCACAATCGGGGAAAGATACGTAAAAACCTTGTGCACGACACACGTATACATATAAAATATAGGCCGATATGCCTTTCCGGTCGCGCGTTTAAAGATCATTCGCAGTTTTCGCGTGACGTACGTTCCGTTCAGTATCCGTTCAGTATCGGTAATTAACACTTGATAATTACGGGACGGGAATCGTTTGACAGGATAGCGTTTTACCGGCTGCGGCCAAGTTCTGGGGCAGGTCGTAAGTTGTATAATGAAGCGCAGCGATTAAACGCCGACACTCGAATGGATCCAAACGCGCCGCGAGATATTCCAGCTCACTCAGATTCACGTCGATCGTGCCGCGAACTCCCACGTACCCAATCGCCTGGCAAATTAAAAGATACGCAACAAAATCGACCATTTGAAATTACATTTTTGTCTCGGGACAGGAGGTTACAGAGGCTTGCAAACGTCGCATCGATAAACAAATCGAATGAATGAAAACAGAAGAGCTCGCCTTTTTTTATTGTCGCGCGTATCGCAACTTTCTTTTCATTCGTTGTGATTCCTCTCTTGCTTCGGGGTTTTTTCTTCGGCTCTTTTTTGATAGTTGGAGTTATTCCTCGATTATTCGAGCGAAAACAAAATTTCAAAGAAATATTACAAATTAACTGCATTGCAAGGGCTATTTTATAAAAAATATCTTTTTATTTCAACGTATTTCGCACGAATGTGGAACGGATTTTCTTTGCTTGTGCTCTGACTGTTTATCAAATGGCCATGACAACTCGGAAAAAAAGAAAAGATCGTACACACATGAATTTTCTCACAAATATATAGCTAATCATACAACAACGAAAAAATGCTGCTATAATACAAACGAAATAAATCAGTTTATAGCAGCACATGTCAACGTTTATTCTCAACAAAATTATTTCCTCCTTTTTTCATTCGACATTATTCTTTCCCCGTGTGGACATGTGATTATATATATATATATATATATATATATATATATGATCTTTCTTTTTCCGGAAAGAAAACATGAATTTTACTGGAAAGAAATTTCAATCTTTCAATTCTTCTAGGCGGCGTAAATGCATGCTATTCTGGATAACTGACACTTTTAGCGTTATTTAGCGTACAAAATAGCGTATGTGGAAACTTGAGATTACTTGAGATCGAGAGAAAAGTGGAGCAAAACAAATTGTATTTTCATATCGTTTGATGCTGTTTTACTTCCGTAAAGAGAAAAATGCGACACAAGAGAGAAAAAGAAAAAGAAAGAGAAAGTGAAAGAGAAAGAGAAAGAGAAAGAGAACGAGAAAGAGAAAGAGAAAGAGAAAGAGAAAGAGAAAGAGAAAGAGAAAGAGAAAGAGAAAGAGAAAGAGAAAGAGAAAGAGAAAGAGAAAGAGAAAGAGATAGAGAATACGTGCTGTGCACGGAGAGGATGCAAGTAACAGAACGTACGTGCCCATGAAATTGCGTTTATGAAATTTCGTGTTGGTGATACGACATGACTCGAAGATGAGAAGCGCTCTAGTCGACTCTCTGGCTGTTACCGATGACGACCAAATCAAGACTTTAATCGAGAATAATCAGCGATATACGACGCGGGAAATAGTAGAGATACTCAATTTATCACATACTACTGTCAACGAGCATTCGCACAAGTTGGGATACGTGAATGGGAATCTCTCGTCTTGATGTCGTCTTGATGCCGCATAATTTGTCTGAAAAAAATATCTAATCGACTGCATTTCTATTTGCAATTTGCGTTACTTAAACGCAACAAAAACGACCCATTTGCGAAACGAATCGTGACGGACGATGAGTTCGTTTATATACGATATACGCGGTTCACAAACGGTCTTGAGGAAAGCGTTTAGAAAAGCCGTTGACCGCTTTAAAGGCTTTAAAGGCTTTAAGAAAAAAAGAAAAAAAAAAGAGAAAAAGGTCAGCGCAGTGTATCTGGTGGGACTAGAAAGATGTCGTGCATTACGTACAACTCCTTTTAAATAATGTGCGGCTTAATTCGGACAAGTACTGTATCCAGCTGGACAGACGGAAAGAAGCCATTGCAGAGAAACGTCTGGAATTGATCAATAAAAAGGGTATTTTATTCCACCAGGCCGCCATACTCTTTTGGCTACGCTTTTGACTTGACCCAACATATTCACCGAGCATCCTTCGCTCCTTCGGATTACTACCTGTTTCGATCCTTGCAGAACTTTCTTAATGGTAAAGCGTTTACTTCTTTAAGGAATCGTAGAAATCACCTTCGACAATTCTTCATTGAAAAGTTAAATTACGCAGCTGCCCGAAAGATGGCAAAAGATTATGGAAAACAACGGCCGTTACATTATTGCTTGAAGCTGTTTTCAAATCTAAATAAACTTGCTCCAATTTTGAGCTAAAAATATGACATTACTTTCCTTCCCCAACCCAATACATGCGAAAATGCCTCATTAAGATGATGCCTCGTTTACTCCTTTTTCTCCTTTTTCTCCTTTTTCTTTACGTTATCGTCGTGTCTGCCTCTTTCGTCTCTTTCGTCTCTGCTTCTTTCTGTAACACTTGTAGCACGCGATCGGCGATTCGTCCTCCTGACGTTCCGGTTTTTCCGGTTGCAACGGCGGCAGAACAATCGGTTCCCCGGCTTCCGTGCCGGTGTCGGTGTGCGTGAAGTTTCGCGACGCAAGATCCCTTTCTCTTTTTTTCCTTTTACGTGACTCTCTCATGCCGGCTCTTTTGCTCCGGCCTTGTTCGACGTCTGAGTAATACTTTCTAAACGTATGTATTTTTGCAGGTATGATCGAGCAGTCTGCGAGTACGAAGAGATCTAAGATCTAAACTAATTAACAGACACAAGCGAAAACAGTGAGTCGCAAGAGATGTTTCTCGTTCACGCGATTATTAACACGTAATGCCATGACGGACACCGAAAACGACTGCTGCGTGAACTATCGTGTCGATGTCTCACTGCATCACGTATGTAATTGTATAATCAGATGCATTGAAAAAATCAGGCGCATGTGCTCGTGCAATCGAGAGAGAGAGAGAGGGGGGGGGGGTAAAACAAGATAAAAAATGTGCAAGTGTCTGCGATTACATTTATTTTACTGTATCTTCAATAAGTCAGTTGTCAGTTAAGATTTTGTGCAATCAAATGAAATCAACGCGATAATCAACGTGTTTGTTGCACAGTTCAGTTCAGCCTCACGCATATGAAAAAGACGAGAAAAATTAATAAAATAAACATAAACAAGTCACGGATCGCACACAGTCGATATTTGAAGAATTAATGGAGAATCTCATAATGTATGACACTATGTTGTGGGTTATTGTCGTACCTTGATGCTAAAAATTATGTAACATTCAATTATCTGTATATATATATATATATATATATATATACACACTTTTTTTTTATAGTCGCTTCTATTGTAGTCGCTCGTGGAAACGAAACGACGGTGAATAATTTCTGTCATCACAAGACAATATACCTGTGTATAGTGTGATACCTCGATATCCCCCACCAACCTTAAAAACCCTCACGCACAAAGGATCAATGGATGTTTCTTTGCGAGGTCGCAAAGTTAGAAGAATAAGACTCTTCGACTCGGAAAATGCTCTCGTCTCATACTAACTCCTGCTTTTTCCTGCCTGTGAGTTTGCCAAGGAGTCTTGCGCATTTATTCCTGACAAACAGCGTGCAGCAACAGGTCAGTAGCACAATCGCAACTGCGATTCCTCCGATAACGTATAACGGCAAGGAGATCGTTTGGCGTCCTGAAACGTCGTATCGTTTACGTTTCAGCAGGATATAAGCGCTTCGCGCAGCTATGCTGCGCCAGTGGCTTTGCAACTGTGTTGTAAGATTTTTTGTTGATGAAACGACTACCAACGATTATTTAATATGTTTGCCAAGCAGTCGCCATTTGTTCCAGCATATTTCTTTCAATACGCTGGATCGCTTACAAGGTTAGAAACACAAAGTTGGAAAAGTGTAAATCGCGTGGAGTTCGGCTTGGCAGAAAATCATACGACATTTGCAGAATGATTTGCAGAACCGCCGACAGCACAGGCGCGAAGCGCCTGCAGCAATAATGCTTTTTCTGCCGAACGTAAAACAATCGTGGCGATATAAATTTTATCGATTTGACATTATTGTTTGGCCAAAGGTCCCTTCTGTCACTCGACTCGCCTGATAAGATAAAAGGGCCGGACGCGTTGGTATTATTCATCTCTCTAGCTTCGTCTCGAAGATCTTCGAAGTGTCACTCCCCCGAGCGTCGTTGTTGTTTCGGCGCAGATATTATGGAATAATATAGAATTAACTATATAAATTAACAATTAACCCGAACCGAAATAGACGACACAAATATCACCGACTGACCGATTGGCACCGATTTTTGGCTAGGTTAAGCGAGGGCGTTCGAGCGGATGCGCGCGCGAGTACGGGTGTAAATAATAAATGTAGTAACAAAACATCAAACACACACCCTCGATTAACTTCACACTCTCTCCCCTAAGCGCCGCTTACTCGCTTAGGGGGAGGGGGGGGGGGGAAATAGCGAAAGAACAAGGTGAACATCTCTGCTTTGAATCGACACTGAACAAATGCTGATTGATAATTAACAGAGCATTTTTACCGAGTGAAAATACGCCGACAAACGTATGCTGTGAGAAAAAGGGCTTTTGGCTCAATCTAGTTGCTCAATGTAGTTTCGTTCTTTCATACTTTTGTGCTGAACATTGAGTGCTGAGGCACTGTATAATTTATGGTCCTTTGGAATGACACGTAAGTGATTGACAAAACAGAGATGAAGAGAAAATTATGTAAATTGTGAAAATGAAACCGTGAAGAAACTAGAAACTAGAAAGAACGAGATAAATGACTGTAGAAAGAAAAGAAACAGGAATTTCTCCATTAAGAGGAAAAGAGGCGAGGTTAAGGGGAGGAAGGCAGGTTTCTTACCTGAACTGTTCGAAAAAATGTTGAAATGACAGACGATAAATTACTTGGAATCTCTATGTTTCTTCCTTTTTCTGTATACGCCGGCGTATTTTTACCACGGTGTATTACTAATTCTTCATAATTCAGCGACAGGGTGCTTCGCACTCTGCAGTCAAAAAGACACGATCACGTAGCAAGGTGCGAGTGTTAGACGCCTTTGAGACGATATATACGAAGATTGTTAAAAAAGAAATAATATATGAGAACTAGTTTCGTCTGTAGTTCGTCGTTACAAGTAAGTAAGTAAGTAAGTGTCGGTATAATTTGGAGAAAACGTAACAAATGTGTTATTCTCTCGTGAAAAGTTAGAGCTTACAAAGTTAAAGCTTACGCTACGGGAAACATTTAGCTACGTAGCATTTTCGAGGCCAAAGACTCAAAAATCTCGGAAAAGTCCGTGACGCGCGCGCGCGCGCGCGCGTCGTGTCTACTTCCTATCGCGACTCCAAAATTGCATCGATACAGCCGTGCGCGATCTTAAACGTTATAAACCTGGCAGAGAATCAGGAACAAGTAGTCGAACATCTTTTTCCATGCCTCCTGCACCTCCTGCGTGTATTGTTTCCCGAAAACGGACGGGATTAGATCCTCCAGTACATACCTCAAGTTCTGGAAAGATAATTTATAGTTCTTATTCACGACGTGGTGGATCGGTGTATGTACTGTATATGCACGTATATATTGACCCGTTGCCTTAAAATAAGTGCCTTCTCAACAGCGTCCGTCTAAACAGCGAGAGATAGAAGGAAGAGCTTTTACCAATCTTCCGTCCAATTCTTTCGTATATTTCCAATCGGAATGATGGGAGTGCGAGACGGTGAGAGAGAACCGTCCAACCTTTTCGAGAGCGTTAAGCCTTAACAAAGCTTTTGAACAAAGAATTGATGGACTTTGGTCTGCCGCTACCTAGACGGATAACAAGAGCCGGTGAAGCGTCACGCCGTGTACGACATGTCAAATCGTCGCACGTATAAAAGTATAAAAGGTACGGTCCTTATTTTAAACATATAGCTCTTTGCACATGCGTTACACATGACAATACCAGCGATATGTGCTTTGCACAGTGCATATCAGTATGAATTTATATTATTATAACAGATGATTATGTTTATTCTAGATATTACGCATGTTGATATTATTTAATTTATATAATACCAACTCTGTCATTGTCATTGTTGACTGAATTGTGTAGCGTTCGACGCGATAACGGCCGTGATAAGAAAGATATACGATAAGAAGAATTTAGTTACTTGAAAATGCTCTCGAGTTTGACCGCGATTCTTGTGCCTCTCGGCAAGATTGATCAGACTCGCCTCCATCAGCTCTGGATTGTGGATATGATCGATAACGTTGCTCAAGCCTGCGATAACACTGACACAATGTGCCTGAAACTTTTTATTTTTCGATAGTTCTTCGAAGGGTATGCCCTTAAACGATTTGAATTGGTCTTGGTATTCCGGGTATCGCGTGAAAAAGCTGTAAAGAAATTCAAATAATATCTGTTTCAAATCATATTTGTACTAAGGTGCGTGATATTTTATCGAATAGTTTGTTAGATGGATTTACGGCAGAAAGAAAGAAAGAAAGAAGGAAAGGAAATAGAGAAGAGAAAATTGTGTGTCTTCTATCCTATACTGCCGAGATATCAGCGCGAGATATCGAGTGCGAAAGCACTGAGGCGTGCTCTCCCCTCCTGTAAATGACTTTATGCAAATACAAAGAATTGCAATTTCGCAAAAGTGTCCGCTAAAAGCGAACCATCTGTCGAAGAGATAATAAAGATATCGCCATACACGTGGAATCGCAAGAGTGAACTTTTTTTCTGCACTGAAGCCATCATATATGCAGTGGATTCTCAAGCGATACCATTGAACATTTCAGTCGATTAGAATGAATTTGATCAATACCGCGCGTAACGCGTTATCGCGCGTTATCGTTGATGACCGATGATGACCTCGCGATATCCACTCGGGGAAACGAGTTAGATAAAAGAAAGACGCTTTACTTACGAGTGCTTTACTCCGATTTACCGAGTTTAAAATTTCGCCCGCAGCGCAGTGGGCGATATTAATTGTTTTCAAACTTACATATCCCGGATATGTAAGTTTAGTTAACAACACGGCTTTGGCGAGATGGCGTAATGACGCGACGACGCTAATCACGTCGCTGAGTAAGTGTTGACAAAGCCAGCGTTGAAATTTTCATAACGCGCGCATCCTGCCGTGACTTTTGCGACGCGGCGCGCATCGCAAATGTAAGCGCGAATGGTTTTCGCGGGAAGAAACGCGAGCGCGTTTGCCGATGAGCGGCCGCAAACGTGACGCGGGTTCTCGACGACGCGGCTTGTACGTATAAATGTATAAATGATTGTGTATCGACGGTTCGTTAGATAAATAATCAGTCGGTCAGAATGAATCAGGCGGAAGAGCCTTGAGAAGCAGGCGCTCTCTCTCTCTCTCTCTCTCTCTCTCTCTCTCTCTCTCTCTCTCTCTCTCCTACGTACGTAATAAAAGAAGAAAATGGCTTGTCTCTCTCGCGAAAATTATATAGCGCGCGTTAATGATAGAGTTATATTATTAGAGAGTTATTCAGAATGATTAGAATGAGTTTCACCTTGCGATTTTCGCCGATGAAAATCGCCAAAGTACAAAGTCAAAGAGTGCAAAGAGAGTTTCGCGCGTAATTTGCACCAGTCAGATTTACACTAAGACAACAGCAGAGTGTCTTGTGTTTGTGAGTTACCTAAAATTGTATGTTGCAACCAGATTATAGCCAGAGAAGAGTCGTCTTATCGCAGGGAATTAATTGTACTCTTTAATGTTATTAATTGCGATAATAATCTTTATATGCATGCGTCGCTAATGTTGTTTCTGGCAGAACAGCAAAATAAAGACGGCGGTCGGCGCCGAAAGTAACTATAAATTGCAGTGAAATCAAGCACGCTCTTGCGGCAGCGATGACGGCTTCGCTGTCACCTTCGCTGTCGTCTTCGATTTGTCGTCACCGGGATCCTACGTGTCTTATTGCATCGCGTATTGCGCGAATAAGCGAGATTAATAGAGAGATATTGGATCGACTCACGCGTTCATAATGGCGAGTCCGGACGACACGTCGTCTTTGCGAACAATGGCCCATGTGTTCTGCACCAATTTCTTTTGTTTCTCGCTCATGCCGGTCTTCTCGTCCAATTCACCACCATGGCCCTCCGTCAAGTATTTATACAGCGAACGGACGAACGACATATTTTCGACGCGACAGATTCCAATCTGCGCAAAAGTAGAAGTAGATTGGATAATTGCGCTTCGCGCATAGATTTCTATGTAGGATCTTCGCTAATGAAAAACTCTCGTGCCTCGTTAACGGATCTCGTGAACTTTGGTCGCGAAGCGGACGCGTGAAAAAACGAATGCAGCATTTTTTCTTTTCTCTTTTTTTTTTTTTTCTTTATTTCAATCTAATGACCGGCTTCACGGAGTGAAGCGAGAAACGAATGACGATCGATCGACAAGTTTGGTTAGAATGCCGTGTTTCTCGTGATACCGTTGCATCTCATTAAGCAACGTACGTAATTAATTGCAACTGAAAAATTGATTGTGACAGCCGATTGTAGAACAAGGAGAAACAAGGAGATATAAATGAAAGAAATATATGCCTTTCTTTACCGTCTTTATCATTAGAGCAACTCGATTGTCTCATTTTAGTTTAGTCTAGTTGCGCAATCAATGGATTAGTAAGCATGGCAGAGCCGATGTAATATATGATGAAATTAATAATCTTTAATGCGCGAGAGATAATTTCTTTTGACCAAACGCGCGCGAGACAAGCGCGCGTTTCGAAGAACGGTAACATCCCCTAAGTCTCATCGTTTTCCCGACTGTAAATTGTTTCTCAAGTAAATATATATCTGTGAACGGATACCACCGGTGCGCGCAAGTGTGAACGTACCGTTGAAAAAATACACGAAAGAAATACCACGTTGCATTCTCCGCGCTCTATGTAAATATTTAAAGAACGCATATACGCGCCAGGACACGCCGTGTATACTAAATGCATATAATCCGTTTTATGCGGTTATAAAAGTCGACGATATACGATACATCTTTTTCGAAAGAAAGATATCCCCATTTACACGTGTAAAATCTCAAGATGCGCTCTGCGTTCAACGAATAGCGAATCTCTCTTCGTATTCTTTGAGTTGCCGTTGCCATGCCGTGAGCAAGCAGTTCTTGCAAGTGTTCTTGCATTTTCCACAGTGTCCACAGTGAGACAAAAGTGAGCGTATTAACAAAATGAAATCTAATGAAATCGAGACGGAACGGTCAGTGAAGAATGGGCAGAGGAGAAGAGACGGAAGAGAGGAGGTGGAGAAAAGGGTGCACGGTGCAACGTCAAAATGAAAAGAGCAGCAAAAAGAAAAGAGAGATCATATGTCGGTGCATTTGCATAGTATGATTCTGGCGATGTTAATTCGCTCGCATATACTATAATCGCGTCGCATTTTCGCGCGATTTTCGCGCGGGGATGTTCAGTCCCGCGATTAACTCTGGAATGGATGTACACGCGCGCGCGCGCGCGCGCGCGCGCGAAGAAAAGAGGCAAACGCAGATGGAAGTTGAACAAGCGAAGACGGCGGTACCAGGCGACGCGGGCGCGAAGAAGAAAAACGGAGCAGCACTCCGCCGGCGGGGAGACGACGCTTAAACCACGAGCAACCACGGACAACACGACTGACACAATGACTAGCGCTGACTGCCGCCGCTTTGCTTCTCTCCTCGAATCGCCTTCAATTACTCTGTAATTCAGTATGATATGTCACGTGCCACGCGTGCACACACACACACTCGCCGATTGGACTCAGCAGCGACTGCCGCCGCCGCCGCCGCCGCCGCCGCCGTTGCAGCCGGTCGCAACTATTTCAGCAATCGAATCCTCCCCACTCCGTTCCGTCGAAGGAGATGATAAAAAATCTTGCATCGCGTTCGTCATCAGGGCGTACCCCAGAGAGAGGTACGCGTCGTTAAATTTAATTTTAACCTCAACCCATACAACGCAGATGCCGGATCCCGAGCGTATCGCAACACACGTACATTGCGTATATTCCATTAATAATATCCGAAAAGAAAGCTACGAAGAAGCTACGATACTCGGAGAATGTTCCCATATTCGCATCCGACGCCTACAAGCTCACTACCCCCGAGAAAACAGGAACTTGTTGTGAAATCCATATGGTTTTGTGGATTCCACGTGAATGCAACGCGAAGTCGTTTTTCTACGGTATATACTCGGGACATTATTTCCTGTTATATTACAAGTATATCGTCAGATTATTTTATAGTCGCATTACCAATATCTGCCAAAAATATCGTTTACGAGGAGATGCCGCAACCTGTTACAAAATAGATTTCCGAGCGAGACGTATGTCTCGATACCTCGATAACTCGTACGTATAGAATAGAGACCCTAGAGGAATGAATGAATGGGCCTTCGTTTACGAGAGATCGTTTACGAAGCAGTTTAGGCTGACGGAACTGCACCGACCGAGAACAAGACCGAGAAAGGTGTACCACTAACGTGACCGCAGCGTATCTGACGAGAAGACCATCGAACGATCGATATGTTGACGAACGAATTTTTAGTGAACGTTACATACATTGCGGAGGGGCTTGCCCGTGTGCACGAAGGTGCATGTCGCAATGGCTATTAATTTCCGAGGAAATTTGCTTTAAAGTTATACGCGCCACATAATATACACGGACCGTTGAATCAACTTTTGGGGACGCCCAACGGGGTGCCCAGGACGCATGACGCAGCGGTTAACGTTTGTGACGCGTTGTGCGCGCTGCCAATTCGAGTCTCAGTAATTTGTATTTTTTTTTCTTTTTTTTTATCAAAATAACAAAATAACAGTTTGTTTCGTATCCCATGTTGTTAGTCCCATTGTCTTGCATTGTCTTACTAATATTTCGATGGAAACTTTGTGCTTTCAATTCTTCTCGTTGAGTTCTTCAATTCAAACCGAAGCCTAACGGATAAATCCTACGTATGAGTATATAGTGAGATATTACTAATTATTCCATTTTTAATTTCTACTTAAGTTCTATAATGGGAAAATAAAACGAGATGAGTATTAATGGAGGATATTTATATCTTATTTTACGCAAATCATTACCTATATTACACTACAAAATCCTCTTTATTAATTGAACTGAATTAATTGAATTTCAGATATTTATCATAAAAACAAGAAAAACATAAAATTCTAAAATACATACTAAGCGCATTTTATAAAAGCAAGCGTTTAGCGTTACAGGCGTTACATGGTGTTTTTAGAAGCAACACCGGAAAACACCGGAAATCGTTTACATTCGAAAAGATATTTCCCTTCCCTTCGTCAATTTTGCGGAAAATCATTCATTTTATATTAATTGATGCAAAATTAAAGAGTGTACTTTGATCGCATCTTCCCTCGGAGCAATTTATCTCTGATTCTTCAACAACGCGGGAGCAATTTTTAACAAAAATCTCTTTGCCCTCTTCACGAATCAAGGACTAAAACTTTAAACTAGTAAAAAATTATTTTTTCTACACAGAGAAACAGAACAATTTTCAAAAATGATTCGTAATGATTCCTTTCCCTAAATTTGGCACATTTTGTACAACAATGTAACAACAATGTTTTCACTTAAATTTGTTGCTTCTCAACTCAACTACTTTCTTTTGGTGCGATTTTGGAGCGCAATTTTCCAGACGGTTCTCGCACACACAAGAAGATAAATAGAAGAATCTTTTCCGATGCAGTCGGCGCGTACTGTAAACTGCCGTGTAAAAACGAATAATATTACTTAAATTTTTACTTCAAATGTTTTATCATCACAGTTTTTGATCTTTGCTGATCGGCGAACAATCTATTATACGTCGATTGACAACCAATTTGATCTACGTATATCAATTACAAAATCATGGTCGCAATTACAAGTGAGTGTTTTCGTTTGCACTCGAAATGTTTTTGTAGCTGCTAATGCTTCCTCTATTCTAGCGAATAGAGAGCTCTGGAGCTTATATATTTCGTCATTTCTTCTCACTTGATCTTGTGTCTTTTTCTTCAATCTTTCCGTCCACCATAGCCGAAACTAAAGTTTTCGGACAAGAAAGAGAAACTTGCACTTTGTTGCCCACTGTTATAATGTCCTCATCAATATCTAAAAATAAGTAGAACTGATTGTTTCAGATGTTTTTCCGTTAGACTATATTCGTTACGCTATATTCTTCTTTTCTTTATTTTCATCGTTTACAAAAATTTTGATACTTTACCTGTTGCATCCTCGCTTCCTAGCTTCTATTCTATATATACAATTCTACAATATACATAAATCAGCATCATATGTCTCGTGATTGATGGTCTTCCATCTATCAAGGTGCGTTCCTCCACACTTTACATCTTCTTTTCATCCGTTTTCTTTTTTGTTCAAACGAGCCGCTCCATGCGTCTGCATATTCTTAAAATTCCATTTTAGATGTTATGCTGCTGCTGCTACAGCGACTTTCTTTGTATGCCACAAAAGAGTATACAATCGAGAAGGTTTGGTGCAGGTAAATTCTTCTGCGACATAATCATCGTCATCGTCCGGTGCAACGCAAACAAAGTAACAGTTTGCTTTTATTTATTTTATTCACTGAAAAATCAAATAAATAATATTGACGTAAATAAAAACCTTACCTCTTACGATTGATATTCTTACGATTGATCAATCTCGTCAGAAATAATAATAATTGACGATCCTCAATTATTTTTCTTTCTCCCAGCGTTCAATCAACTATTTCGTTGTAAAATTTCTTTCCCATTTTCCCACGCGAAGGAAGAAGAGGGAATCTGGAAGCCTGGAGGTGTATCTGTTAGAAGATTTACATTTTGCACTAAAGCTTCACAATGTTTTAGCGCGTTAGTAACTTTACCCTTAAATCTCTCGTCAAATTCCATAATGTAGTTTCTTTCACAGTAACGCTTCTTTCATTTCACTCTCACAGGAACACTGCTGGACAAGAGACGTGAAACTGAATAAGAGACCGAAGCCCCCACTCTTTCTTATAAAAGCAGGTACCTGCAATACCGCGGTCTTTCGGCCTAGGATTTATTGTTAGGCTTCGAGAGTTCGAGAGTTAGGGTCGAGAATTCGAGCGAGGAACCGAACACAAAAATTAAAGCAGGTCGAAACTTCTGGTCTCAACAAGTTTCCCACCAAAGTTTCTCATCTCAAAAGTATTACAGCGTAAAACTACGTTAAAAACATTGGATATAAAATAAAAGGGCATTTAAAACTGGCTGCGAAAAAAAAGAAAAAATTGATTAATAATAGAATAATTAATAATGTCACTAATAAAATATATTTATTAAAAGTATGAAGATTAATTACGTAATGAAACATTTATCATTACTTGATTGAAAGAAAGAAATAAACAAAGCAGCGAGACATCCGAAACCGAATCCGAAATGGCAATAACATACGAATCGCAAACGCTAACCGTTGCGCCACACCGAACGACTCGAAAATTGATTCAACGGGTTGAATTATTGCGCTCGTGTAATTTCAAACTTGATTTTCTTGCAAACTAATGCCCGTCGCGACATATCCGTTAATTTGTAATTTGTACACGGAGGTAATCTCTCTACAATGTGTCTAATATATCTGACATTCATGAAAATCCGTTATTAACAGATTAACAATCTGACGGTGAATACTTGGTGAATATCGTATATACCGAAGTATCACGGACGCGAACCATGCGCCGCTGTCCGACGCAATCGAGTTGACGTAGTTGACGTTCATATTCTCGCCGCAGGCGGCGTATTATGATGACCTTTGTTACTTTCGCCGCTCTCTCAGGCTTCTCTCTGCTTTTATAAACTGCATTTCTTTCATGAAATAATTTACGCGCGTTAATAAGTGACTGAATAAATATCTAATGACAAATCGTATTATACACATAAACTTTCATTCTTTGCTCGTAACACGAGCAAACGAGCAGAGTCGAAGGACTTTTGCGAGTTGCTGGCTTTTATTAGCGACACGTAAAAATCGATTCGACCCAAAAGACCGCAGCGATTGGCTGATACGATGCGACTCGAGATTATTCTTCACGTCACCGCATCATGCACGCGGCAACGGCGGCGGCGGCGGCGGCGGCGGCCGCCGTCAAAAGGGAAACGCCGCGTACGTACATACATACGTCGTCCACGGTGTATGAACATCGTCGTTTGTCAATGTTTTAAGATGGCGGACGCGAACGAGAAGTTGTTGGCGGAACTCCTGAAAAAGCCTGGGAATAACGTGTGCGCGGATTGTGGGGCCAAGAGTGAGTGCGTTCCGTAAGAAAAAGGTTCCGTTCGCCGTCCAGCCGTCGCGAACGAGCGAACGGCGTACACGCCGCCGCGACGCGCGCGATTTTAACCTCTCAGCAACACCGCCGCGTGACGTCCAACTCCGACGTCATCCGGAATGTTTGTTTTTATCGCGACATTAAGTATTGCGATTATGTGTATAACGCAAAGTATAGCGCGCAGTCGGCCGATCCCGCCGCGGACGCAAACGTCCAACGTTGCTTCGCGTTATCGTGACCGCAATTGCACGTCGAAAGGCACGTCGTCTGTCAAAGTGACAGCAAACGCCTCGTTTTCGCCGACGACTGAGCCAACGTTGTTGAGTTTTTTCTCCGTCGCGCACACGGCGGCTACGATAATCGCCACGATCAGACTGACCGCCGCGATATCCACGTCACGTTTCAGATCCGGAATGGGCGTCTTACAACATAGGTATATTCGTCTGCAAAAGATGCGCCGGTGTGCACAGATCTATGGGAGCACATATCTCGAAGGTGAAGCACTTGAAGTTGGATAGGTGGGAGGACTCTCAGGTGAATAGAATGAGGGAAGTGGGTAACGCCGCGGCTAGACTGCACTACGAAGAGCGCGTACCCTCGTGCTATCGTAGACCAAGCCCAGATGCCCCGCAGTAAGTTATCAGACATTTGTGTGGTTTTCCCTGTTCCATCAGTCATGAAGGACGATACACACGTATCAGCCTTATCAGCTAGCTACCTCAGGTAGCTATTATGATAGCATCATATTCTCGCACATTCAAACGATTAATTCTCGATTGTCGTTAGAGTTTTGGTCGAACAGTGGATAAGAGCAAAATATGAGAGGGAGGAATTTTGCCATCCCGAAAGACAGAATCACTATGTGTCAGGTTTTATGGAAGGATTCCTGATGAAGCGCGGCAAGGAGGACTCGCGTTATCATCCGCGAAAATTCGTGCTCAGCGAGGCGGAGGATACCCTCAAGTATCACGTTAAAGAGAACAAGGTACCTTGGCAGGAGAAACGCCAAACAATTCTGTTCTGAGCTGTGTCGTATAAGTAGGAGATATATATATATATATATATATAATTTTATATACATATATATATATATATATATATACACACATATCGATAATATTGTCGCACAATTTATCCCAAGGAACCCAAAGCCATCTTGAGGATATCAGAGTTAAACGTGGCATTTGTACCGACCAAGACTGGTAATCAAAACAGTCTTCAGCTATCCTTCATGAAAGACGGCACCACGAGACATATCTATGTGTACCACGAAGATCCGGAAGTGATCACAAATTGGTATCTCGCGATCAGATGCGCAAAGTTGCACCGTCTGCAAGTGGCGTATCCAGGCGCGAATGAGAACGAATTGTTGTCACAGCTAACGAGGGACTTTCCACGCGAGGGTTTCCTGTGGAAAACAGGCCCTAGGCATACAGATGCTTATAAGAAGAGATGGTTCACATTGGATGGCAGAAAACTTATGTATCACGATGATCCCATGGTTTGTACATATCCAAACAGCACAGACGTGAACTAAAAGATATCTCGGGGAATAAAAAGGAGGATAGGTGGAGTGTGTTTCTGGAATGTTTTAGATACATTTCTCAAAAGTTTACCTAGGCACCTATTTCGAATCTTACTTTTCGCACAAAATGAACGGAATCCTAAACTAAACGCTTCATAAGCTCTATAATAAGACGTTTCTTCTTTATACGTACGGAACTGACTGACTATTCTCTTGTATGCAGGACGCGCATCCAAAGGGTGAAATTTTCTTAGGACACGGTTCCGAGGGTTTCGCGGTGAAAACGGGCGTACCGCCAGGCGCGAGGGACCAAGGATTCTCGTTCACTCTCGAGACACCCGATAGGACCTATTTGCTCTCTGCGCAAAGCGACGACGACAGGTCGCAGTGGATCAATGTGATCCAAAAAGTAATTGATAAGCCACTAACGCCACAGGATGCGAGCGGTAAGCGAAGTTGTAGCGCGTGTATAAAGCGCCTAGCTGGGATTTGTGAGAACGAACGAAACACGTTGGTTTCTATTTTACAGTAGCGGCGAGACTCGTAAGAAAACGCACAGCCAGTGGCTCGATGAATATATTTTCGTCTACGAGATAGGGCTGGATTCCTCTTAGACGTCTTTCTTAATTCTCGTTCACCGGTAATATCGTACGATCGAATCGTATATTGTCGATGATTATATATGTGTATATATATATGTGTGTGTGTGTGTGTGTGCGTGTGTGTGTGTGTGTGTGTGTGTGTGTGTGTGTATGTATGTATGTATATATGTACATATATAGAGAGAAAAATATATGACTCAGCACACACGTGCGTGATGCTCACGGCTATACCTAGGGCTATTATTTACTCACCCAAGTACTATTGCCGTTGAGTCATATATTTGCTCACATACCTGCGCACGGTAATGTAGCTTACGTAGAATAACGCATAAGACTGCTCGAAGATTGTTGATGCGGATGAAAAAACAAAAGTGGAAACTGCAAGCACACCCGCGCTCCTCAATGACATGATTTTGCGTTACGAAGATGCTTGTGTGTGTCACTTTACTGTCTAAATCGTGTCTTTAGGCAGTATTGTAACAATATTATATAAGGGATTTTTACTTAGAAATAACGTTGACAGCGCGATAGAGCATTGTCTCTGACAATGTAATGTTCGGAGCGCCGACCGAGGAAACTCTATTCCAGAAAATTAATTTAATCTATCGACGAAACGATCTATCGAACTAGCTAGGCTGGTTTAGAATAGATAACTTTTCAAAGATTATCTGTCAATGATAATTTGCAGTATTTTGTTCTTCTATTCTTTTTCATTTTTTCTCTCTCTCTCTCTCTCCCCCCCCCTTCTCTCTTTTTCTTAGCCTCAGTTGATTCATTGAAACTTCCACGATCGATGTAAGAACGCAAAAGTGATAGCGACACACTGTACATAAACAATAAATTTTGAGGGCCTATCACTTCTCTATTATTTTCTCAGAAGAAAGAGATGATGTCGAATAATGTGTGCAACACATGAGTATATCTCGCTCAGTGTCTATGGACAAAGCTGAATTATAAGCGAAAGAAAAAGTACAGTCCACCGTAATGCGTCGGAAACACAAAAATCAAACTATTTTTACACATCTGCCACGTTCATGGATTAAATTACATTGTTTTGATAGTTGATTGTGAAGTGTGTTTCATATCGACAGAGCGAAACATACAACGTGATGATCCTATTGAGAAGAAAGTACAATCGTGAGATGTCTTATCCACTAACGAATCTTTTTAAAACTTGTTCAGGTATCATATGATACGAAAGTATACAAAACGTAACAAATTTACTATACATACGTAATTATATTCAACGCTATTCGGATTTGCCGTAATTTCTTCACGTATACACACACACATATATATGTGTGTATATATATATATATATATATATATATATATATATATATACACACATGTGTGTATATATATATATATATATATATTCGTAATGTGAAACTTTATTGTTCACCCTTATCTTCGATGTGTTCGACGACTGGCGCATTCTTTAAATAACACAAGATATTGACCCAGCAGAAGCCGGCAACGCCGACATAAGTCACTCGCAAAGATGCGGGGACTAGCAGAAAATTCACGAGTTGCACCGGCAGCCAAAATCCACAGGAGGTCTAAAATCAGAACGATATAGTATATGTACGATAGTATATTATACTGTTGTATTGTGTGAGGCAATTAAAACTGTGGTCACCCGAAGATGTAACACCCGAAGATGTTTTAAATGCCTCACTCTACGAGATGATAATAATCATCGCATCTCGAAACATACCTGAAAGGTGTGTGGAAACTTTATTTGGCATTCTCGAAAAATGTCCGATTTAGCTTCCATCAGACTCATACCTGTAAGATCGTGTGGAAAAGAAATTGTGTTGCGTCGCGTACAATTGTCGGCTCAAACGCATGCAAAGGCAAAAAACAAGCGAAAGGATACAAACTGGTGAAGAACAGGACGAGTAACGGCGGTGTAAAGATAAACTGATCCGCAAAGAGCTTCTTCAAGACGATTCTCGTGGATTTACCGCTGTAATATGTGTCGAGCCACTTGTACCTGCCGGTTAACAGCAACCGGCGTTAATTCATATAAATTTATCGCGGAATTAAATGAGGCGCATTTTATGTCGATCTAATAAACATAATCGGGGGGAAATACCATCCGTGTAGCACAGGCCCTGCTAAGAAGCAACCGTAAACGGCGTATCTCTTCAACTGTGGCCAATTGTAATCTCTTGTCGATCGCGTCGCAGTATCTTTCTTCTCGTCTACAAGGTCCAAAATCTTGCAAATTTTCTGTATCCGCATCAATATCGGCCCCTTGGTGTCGACCAGAGTTTCAGACTCTTTGACGACCATTTGCGTCGTTGGCTGTGGTTTGGTTAAAATTACATAGTTGTTTACTCGAGAGATTTATTCAATTGCTGCAACTGTACTCTAAGTTTCTCAAAATGAGGTCTCGTTGCAAACAAGGAGGAATTCGTTCAAAGCCACACCGCCGCAAATACCGCCGTCACTCGGAATGTCGCGAGAATGAGCATTTGAATGAAAGCATTGGAAAAGTTCAAAACTGTACTGTGTGGGTGATCGTTTCAATCGCACTAAAGTAAATTTGTTCCCATAACGGTGAAAAGTACACTCTAAATTGTACACTCTCAATCTCTCAATCGAATGAATTAATTTATTCCGTATGGCCAAAAAGTTAAACTCGAGTGGCTCGCGGCTGTTACTGTACTTTTCGAATTGAATTTCAATCGAGGAAATTGACAAATGAGAGAGAGAGAGAGAGAGAGAGGGAGATTACATCGTTTCAACAAGGATCCATCTGAATCTGAAAAGAATTTCACGTTTGACACCTTAGTGAAACTCTGTCGGATAAACTCGGCGCTCGTGTAGAAAAACCCATACACCATCGAGTTAAACAGTAATGGCCTCTTCCGCATCGCGTCGACTACTTTAAAACTTTTCGTCGACAGCATATTTTATTTTTTACTTTGCTCGACCGATGTCCGATCGATTATCACTTTTACGCTTTCGACTTGACGAATTGACGGATAAAATTGTGCTACCGACCGCGACCGACCGAAAAAGCCGAATAGATGATCTCACGTTGAAGGGTGACACGTTAATACTGACGCAGATGCTGCTCGTGATACCTAGCCATCTCATCTAGTCTAAACGCTTTAATCTGGATAACATTCAATCACGACTCAACTACGTCAATTGTGTTAATCAACACACGGCATTACCTCGATAATCGGTGCTACCAGCACATCACACAACTGTAATGTGCACTAGGGAGAAGAATGCAAATTCACTCGCAAGTTTTTTACACATTTTATATTGTCATAATTATATAAGTTTATACGTATATAAAAGTGCGAATATAAAAATTAATGATTTGATGTAAAATTCTGACGACTAATTAATCCGAATCAGGCGCAATGGACCGCAATTCAAGAGACAACCGATCCTTCCAGTCGGTAGACACCCTCTTCTCGAGAGTTGCTTCTTGGAAAACTTTGCTTCTTTCTACCTCGTGAAAACCCAGTTTCTCAAACATCTTTATGCTCAATACATTGTCTAGTTTGATCTTTGCACGAAACTCGCTGATGCCCAGTGTTTCAATACCTGTCTCCCAGTATAAACACAAATGAATGGAAGAAAAGAAAGAGAAGAGAATATTGCGCTTGATATAAAGAATAGACTCTTAGGGATAAATTACCATATCGCATCATGAGAATAACAGACTCCCATCCTCGCTTTCTGCCTTGTCTAGCGGTGTCTGCTATCATAATTTCTACTTCAGCGACGTGTGGCTCTTCTGGATTATTAAAGAACAAATTTGTGTCTCCTATCATAGCATCTGAAGCGAATCATCAAGTGAATCATTTGTGGGGAAAATGTACATCATAGAAATATGTATCGTGTCATCAACATACCTACTTCGCTTCCAGTGGAGTGAAAGAGACGTTTATCCAGGATAATAAAAGTGCATTCTGTAATGTGAAGCAACACGAAGCTAAGCTACTTCGTACGGCTGCGACGGTACGAAATTAACGAATAATTATTACTGTCTTGGTCCTCGAGCCAGCGTCTTTGCATTTCAAACTCCTCCTCCAAAGTGAGAGGTTCTGAGCCTGTCAGATACCGCAGTGTCGGACATTTCATCCACTCGTGATACCTGAATACGATATTGCCATTGTTACATCGTAATTCCTTCGGAACTGTGTACATATGTTATACTTGTCAAAAGTAACAAAACATCACAGAAACTGAACAACGCTTACGAGTTCTGTTGTAAAAAACAAAGATGAGCATATTGTACTATCGCGGCATACAACGTATGTGTGCGTGACTGCAACCACCACATACGATAATTTAAATATATGTGTGGGACATGTTAGTAAAATTAGTAATTGGAGTACTCGTTGGTCAAAACATGATTCAGCGATTGACCGACTGGTTAGGTTTAAATTTTCCTGCTGTAATGTACGATGCGTAATTTTATAGACACAAGTGAGCGCGAGAGATGACAATTACTGTTTTGGTCCTATTGGCAAATAATCTAACGTTACATACTTTGCGACATGCTTCTCCTGATACGGCACCAGGATGACGTTCGTCCCGGTGATACGAGTATTCATGTTCTTCCTCATGATTGTCGGTGTAAGTGAGATTACAAAGGACAGAGGTGGGATCAATTGGGATATTCACCGAAATAATACCGAACGAACAACACACACACACACACACACACACATACACACACAGCTAGTGAAGTGACTGAATTTCACAGATTTCACGCTGAAATTATCGACACACTCCTCGTCTGTCGCGCGCGCTCGTCCTACGAGCATACGATAATAGATGACGCTACGGTGACGCTTACGACGAAGGCAGTTTGTCGATGCGCAATCCAAGTGCGCACCTACCTGACACCGCTGCTGGCGACTGTCAATCTAAGTTACGGCACACGGTACAGCGAAGGACTTCGCGCTGTTTATCTGTCATAAGCAAGGATCGCGCACATCAGAGAAGGCACGGGAACCAGCAACGTCGTAAGCAACGACCAGCGCTGCATCGACAACGCGACGCGGGGAATACTTGGCACAGACCACGGTGAGTACCGTCGTTTATTCCCTTTTAGCAAACGTACCGCGGCGTCGCGAGGCAAGACGACGCGCGCGGGAGAGAGAGTTTGCTTCTTCGTTCACCCGCACGCGCGCGCGCACGCCGCATGGACGCGCAACGTCTCCTCACCGAGACGCGACAATTCTCATGCCGTCGAAACGCAGCACGTGCGCGCGTAATCTCCCTCTTTTTCCGCGGATTCACTCATTTGCTCGGCGTGCACGACGCCGGCTATGACGATCGTCTCTCTCTCTCTCTCTCTCTCTCTCTCTGTCTCTCTCTCTCTCTCTCTCTCTCTGTCTCTCTCTTTCTTTCTCTCTCTCTCTCTCTCTCTCTCTCTCTCTCTCGCGCGCGGTCCCCTGCGCACACGAGAGCCATTCACGGCAATTTGTCACATTTGACAGTTTCTTTACGGTAAACAACCGCGCACAACCGACAACCATACACGACTCGGACGATGTCGGAGTCGGAGTCGTGGCCGCCTCTGTATAATTCGTAGGTTACAACGGCGAACCATCATTTTCTATCAGCGATCAGCGAGAGCGGAGCGTAAGCATTTCTCTCTCTCTCTCTCTCTCTCCCTCCCCTTCCTCCTCCCTCCCTCCCCCTCCCCTTGCCCGTCTTTTCTCCCTCTCTCTCTCTCTCTCTCGCTCTCGCTCTCGCTCTCGCTCTCGCTCTCTTTCTCGGTTCGAGATATATTTCTCGTCGCGACATGATATATTCGAGAGAGACGAGATGCGATTATGCCGGTACACATGCCGAGGGACCGGGCAGCCGCGTCAATCTACGCGTTCTCGCTACGACGTGGGACGCTGCCGCTGTTGCAAAGAGCCAATGTCATGGCGCGAGGCACGTGGTAGCCGGACCTGTTTAGCGCGCTGCGCGGGCTTACAGCCGCGCGGCGGTAAGCCCGCGCGTCTCATTCCCTCTCTCTCTCTCTCTCTCTCTCTCGCTTCTCTTCTCTCCTCGCATATGCGCGCGCGCACACGAGGCCGTGTGCGAGCCTAGCGCTGCCACGGGGTTTACTCGACTCGCCGCAAGGAACCGACATTGTGCGACTGGCGTTGTGCTGTGCCCGTAAACCGACGCCAACTGTCACATTTCGCTCTTTTATCGGCGATGGTTCTAGGACACCCTAGGAGTTGTCGAATCTTCCAATTTCTTGTTCGGCTTTTATTTCCCGTATACCTGGAGAGTGACTGTCTAAGAATGTACCACCCAATGTAGATACCCTCGCAACGTTGCTAAACGAGTTTCCCGCGTTATTTCCCTTGCAATTCGCGCAGTCTCCTCTCAGCAACTCGTCCGAGTCCGAAGCGTTGTCTCGGCATTGGACATACGCGTGCGTGCGCGCACGCGGTCTTCGGGTGACTTCGATGACTTGGGCTTTGTTCACTCGGTTGTTCGCACGGGAAGCGTGTGTTTGTAAACGTCGCAAAAAAGAAGCGAGCGAGCGACGATAACGATGACGACGAAGACGAAGACAAATTTACCTCGTGAGAGTAACTTTGTTAACACTTTGATACACGTCGTGCGTTTGCAGCTGATTATCCATCTCGTGATATTTTCTCCCGCCTTGGGATATTGTAGATTACTGAATTTTAGAGCTGTTTTGTTTTCTTCGTCGCGAAAGTATCGTGTTGTATCGAATGTGCAGTAAGAAAAGATGCACGTCGCTTGTTCGTCGCACGCACAAGTATTCCAATACAAAGTTGAGAGACTCTTGTGGTCATTTCTTGGCGGGATGCGACTGAGAATGAAGAACTCTGTTAAAATTTTTTCAATCTCTCTGAGAGATTGTTCACATCGTGTCCTGATATATATATCACAACTGTCGATTATTCTCTTCATCTGTCATAGTTGGACAGTTTAACACATTGTTGCATCGATGTGACTAAATTAAAAATTGATTATATCATGTCGCATTATATTACAATTAGACATAACGAGTTCGAGTAGAGTATGGGGGTAATGGGGTCGATTAGAGAGAGATTGACGAGTTTTGGCCTGATAAATGTTGAAACTTGTCTCTATTTTTTACATTCACCATTTACTCCGTTAGCTCGTCACTCGACAAACGATTTTGACGAGTAAAATTTTATTCACCTGCCAACAATTGTCCAGAATACGTATAGTGTAAGTATTAATAATTTATTGCGTTAACATTAAAACAAGGCGTGTCTTATCTAAGACGCTAGCGTCTTAATAAAGGATTCGCGCGCGCGCGCGTGTCATAAAAGACCGCTCGCGCAAAATGAGGTAAGGTAAGTGCAGCTTACGTGGCCATCTGACCACGGGGAAGCAGGGGAGGGATTCTTCGTCTTCTTTCCCTCGTCGAGATAGACCGTACTTCCGGCGGAAGAGAATATTACACCTGTCTAAGCACGTGCGGAAAATCACTCTCCTTTAGCGCCCGACTGCCGTGGTGGCCTCGTGTGCCTTTCGCAGGTAAAAATTTTATAAGCTCGAACGCGGTTAGATTAGGAATGAGGAGTGAATTGGCGAGTTTATTGTCATGATCGTGTTTAATTATTGTTTAGTCTGGCACTTTTGCGCTGCGTTCGCGCGCTGTACATCTTCTGCCCAAATTACGCCCAAATCATGTGTGCGCGATACTATTCTCTTGAGAGAGAGAGAGAGAGAGAGAGAGAGAGAGAGAGAGAGAGAGAGAGAGAGAGAATCGCCCGTTTTTCTCGGGCGATTTTCAAAGGAACCCGTGCGCGAACGAAAAAGACGCGGAGAAGCGCGCGACCATGCGCGCACGACATTCCCCCCCCCCCCCCATTTGCGCCATTGCATTATCTAGATGATTATCTATCGAAGCAAGAACGCGTCTTCGTCTTCGTCTTCGTCCCAGCGAATGATGTGTGTACATGTATGGACGACGAGCGTGCTGCAACCGGCGAGACAGATTACCATCATAATGCAATCGGGTCGTTTTCGCTTATTTATTCGTGTTTCGTGTTTGCCTTTGTATACCTGAGTCCTGGGCTCGACTGGTCGGCCTTTTCCATCCTTTTCCGTCGGGTTGACTTAGCTTGCAACGCGGCGATTATATGCATACGCGCGAGAGTACTCGGCCTCTTCCACAAATTAGAAGTCATTCTTCCGCGATACATCGTATTTGTCATCTTTGTGACTTTGTGGCCTCAACTTCGCGCTTGCATATGAAACTATATGCGCGCGCGTTTGAAAATTAAATAGACACGTATTCTCGAGGCTCCGGACTGTCGTGTGGAAGGAATCTCGTAGGTAGGAAGAGGAACGCGCGTAAAATGTGTATTTAAACCCCGAGTCTCTCTCTCCCTCCCCTCCCTCCCTCCCTCCCTCCCTCCCTCTTTCACGCGCGCGTGTGTGCGAGAGATGTCACAAACGGCCTCTGTCATTTGGCAAACCATGCCGGTGTTGGTTGGTTGGTTCGGCTGTGCCGAAATGAAGTTACCGACTTTGGTCGGTAAATGTCAACTAAATTTACACCGATCAATGACGCGAAATTTTGCGTACATGCGGTAAGAAGCATGTCTCGTCACTCTCGCTCCTTTGCGTTTCGCAATCGCGTCAAACGATTTTGTAAACATAATCGACCATTAGAGGTGTTACTCGATTTCGAGTGAGACGAAGGTGATGGAAAAGGAGATACAGGAGAAGAGAGAGGGGGGAGGGGGAGAAGGAGAAAAAGAAGAAGGAGGACGGTAACTCGGAGGAATCTAGTTCGAGTTATAGAGTCCAAGATTAGCATGTTCGTAAGTGGGTCGTCGTATGCGCGTTATCTAGCCCTGGTCATTGGCCAGTAGAACGAACGAACGAACGGACGGACAGCGCCGCAAGAGAGAGAGAGAGAGAGAGAGAGAGAGAGAGAGAGAGAGAGAGAGAGAGAGAGAGAGAGAGAGAGAGAGAAGTCGACGGAAAATTGCGTAACGCGCGCAATAATAATCGTTATCGAGAGGCAAAAAGAAGAGAAGAGAAAAATAAAATCCCGACTTTATCCGGTGTCCGTCGTCGAACTATCTTCTTCGCCTCGTCTTCACATCGTCTCGTCCACGTCCCGTTCGTTCTCGCGTTTTGTTGCACCGGCCGTATTTTGCACGCACAGCGCGTTTTCTCTCTTTTCCACGCGGCTCCTGGTCTTGTTCTCTCGCCGGCGCGCCATGTTTGATTTTGACACGATATTGTATGGAAAAAAAAAAAAAAAAGAAAGAAAGAAAGAAAGAAAGAAAGAAAACGCTTCCGTCTACCAACGTTCACGATGTGATTCCGCGAGCACGCACACGTTTGTTCCCTTTTTCTCGTCGTTCGTCATTGCGCCATTATCTGCCGCCCGTTTCCCCATAGATTTGCAATTATTCCGAGTCGCAGACCTTGCCGTATCCCATGCGCACGCGGCTCGGCTCGGCTCGGTTCGGCGTGTCGCGTCGTGAGGCGCCGGCGTGATAAGAGACGCGCGCGCGGGACGCCCAGTGAACTGCCGATATCGGTGTTACGTAACGCGTTTACGATGAGCTCGCGCGCTTCTCTCGAGAGGCCTCATCGTCGCGTATCTCTCGTCGCGTCCTCGAAGAGCCTGCGCCGCGTTCGCGCGCGCGCGCGCGCGCCTACAGCGGCGTGTCTAGCCGAAGGCGCACCCGAGACATGTGCGTCGTCCACTCCT